TCACTCTATATTGTAAAGCGCTGAGCAAACTGTTGGCACTATATAAATCCTGTATAATAAGAATAATTTGCCAGTTTGTTTGATTTATTAACTTGTAAGTTACGTTAATAGGCACAAAAAGAGAAAAAAATGGAGTAATCAAGGATGACCGGCTGGAACTAACATAACGAAAGAAAAGTTAGTTTAGGCAAGTTTTGGAATTAGCTTGTTTTTATTTGGTTTGATTCATTTTTTAATATTTAATTTTTATACATTCTTGTCTCTTAAAAATTTGATAAATTAAAGAATTAACCATATTTTAGTACACTTTAGTTTCTATTTTTCTCAGTGGGGTCTTCTTTTAGGATGATTTTGATTACAGATTGAATACTGTGTCACAAAATGAGCTACTGAAAAAATGTGCCAATCAGTTGGCCAAAATTTTACCATCAAACCTGAAGATCTTGCAGGTGAAAAAAAGGGAAATCTCCAATACAAAAACAGAGGATCCTCTGATATATACTGTATGTCCCCTGTTTTCTTTAGCAGGTAAAACAATTCTGGCAAAGCTTTTTATACACATTGGATATGTATATGTCAGGATACCCAGTCGTTTTGCTTACGTTTTTATTCTTACCAATAACATAAATCTCTCTTGCATCACTTTGAGTGGATGGGATTTCTCTGTTGGTGTTTGGGCTCCAGTACATACATGTATATTCAGCCTGATCATTTTTGGTGATGTTGTGCAATGACAAAGACCCTCTGCTGGATGATGGCCCTCTGATTTCTCCTTCTTTGTAGAAACGATACATGGTTACAGGAACTAGAGAAGGAGCCACGCACCTCATAGTTACATTTTCTCCCTTTATGAACGTGGCATAGGAAGGCACAAACGTTAACTGTGGAGCACTAGACAATGCTGAAAGAAAGATTTCAGATTAAAAACAGCATGTTACAAAATAATAAATCTTAACAGAGTCCAACATGGACAATGAAGTAAGGAATAGCAATCTACCAGCTTTGACCTGTTCATACAAAATAGACAACCAATGACTTCATGTTCTGAGTTATAGTACATTGCCTATTACTCTCATTAAAGTATAGCTCAAGCTGAAACTAGGAATGAGGTTCAAATCTCAAGAAGCTGCAGGACTATTCACAAAGTGGTGCATGCACAGTGGGGAGTTGACAGTGGTTCCTCCAGAAGCCACAGTAGGCTCCAACATCTAAGATGGTCTTGTCGGGAACCCAGCTGTGAAAAGACAGCACTGGACCCCAGGCACTTGTAGGTATCTGATGTTAAAGAAGCAAACTGAAGTTCCTCTTTATATATGATTTGTTACCCTTGTTCCCATGTTCTCTGTATCAAATGAAGTCATGTCACTACCTTTGCTGGCTATACAGTCTAAAACACTTTTCTCTTTATTAACCACTTGCCCTCCAGAAGATTTACCCCCCTTCCTGACCAGGCCATTCTTTCGCGATACAGCGCTGCGTTACTTTAACTGACAATTGCGCGGTCAGGCAATGCTGCACCCAAATGAAATGTACACCCTTTTTTCCCACAACGCTTTCTTTTGGTGGTATTTGATCACCTGCGCGTTTTTAGTTTTTTTCGCAATAAACAAATAAGACCAACAATTTTGAGAAAAAAACTATATTTTTGACTTTTTGCTAATAAACATGTGCAGTAAAAAAATTTTAAAAATCAAATTTGGTCATAAATTTAGGCCAAAATGTATTCTGCTACATGTCTTTGCAATTTGATCACCTGTGCGGTTTTTAGTTTTTTTCGCTATAAACAAAAAAAGACCTACAATTTTGAGAAAAAAGCAATATTTTTGACTTTTTGCTAATAAACATGTCCAGTAAAAAAATGTAAAAAAAAATCAAATTTGGTCATAAATTTAGGCCAAAATGTATTCTGCTACATGTATTTGCAATTTGATCACCTGTGCGTTTTAGTTTTTTTGCGCTATAAAAAAAAAAAACCTACAATTTTGAGAAAAAAAGCAATATTTTTGACTTTTTGCTATTAGACATGTCCAGTAAAAAAATTAAAAAAATCAAATGTGGTCATAAATTTAGGCCAAAATGTATTCTGCTACATGTATTTGCAATTTGATCACTTGTGCGTTTTTTAGTTTTTTTCGCTGTAAACAAATAAGGCCAACAATTTTGAGAAAAAAGCAATATTTTTGACTTTTTGCTAATAAACATGTCCAGTAAAAAAATGTAAAAAAAATCAAATTTGGTCATAAATTTAGGCCAAAATGTATTCTGCTACATGTCTTTGCAATTTGATCACCTGTGCATTTTTAGTTTTTTTCGCTATAAACAAAAAAAGACCAACAATTTTGAGAAAAAAGCAATATTTTTGACTTTTTGCTAATAAACATGTCCAGTAAAAAAATTTTAAAAAAATCAAATTTGGTCATAAATTTAGGCCAAAATGTATTCTGCTACATGTATTTGCAATTTGATAACCTGTGCATTTTTATTTTTTTTGCGCTATAAACAAAAAAACCTACAATTTTGAGAAAAAAGCAATATTTTTGACTGTTTGCTATTAAACATGTCCAGCAAAAAAATTTAAAAAATCAAATTTGGTCATGAATTTAGGCCAAAATGTATTCTGCTACATGTCTTTGTAATTTGATCACCTGTGCATTTTTAGTTTTTTTCGCTATAAACAAATAAGGCCAACAATTTTGAGAAAAAAGCAATATTTTTGACTTTTTGCTAATAAACGTGTCCAGTAAAAAAATTAAAAAAATCAAATTTGGTCATAAATTTAGGCCAAAATGTATTCTGCTACATGTCTTTGCAATTTGATCACCTGTGCGGTTTTAGTTTTTTTGTGCTATAAACAAAAAAAGACCTACAATTTTGAGAAAAAAAGCAATATTTTTGACTTTTTGCTAATAAACATGTCCAGTAAAAAAATTTAAAAAATCTAATTTGGTCATAAATTTAGGCCAAAATGTATTCTGCTACATGTATTTGCAATTTGATAACCTGTGCGTTTTTATTTTTTTGCGCTATAAACAAAAAAACCTACAATTTTGAGAAAAAAGCAATATTTTTGACTTTTTGCTATTAAACATGTCCAGCAAAAAAATTAAAAAAATCAAATTTGGTCATGAATTTAGGCCAAAATGTATTCTGCTACATGTCTTTGTAATTTGATCACCTGTGCATTTTTAGTTTTTTTTTTCGCTATAAACAATTAAGGCCAACAATTTTGAGAAAAAAAGTAATATTTTTGACTATTTGCTAATAAACATGTCCAGTAAAAAAATTTAAAAAATCAAATATGGTCATAAATTTAGGCCAAAATGTATTCTGCTACATGTCTTTGCAATTTGATCACCTGTGCGTTTTTATTTTTTTGCGCTATAAACAAAAAAACCTACAATTTTGAGAAAAAAGCAATATTTTTGACTTTTTGCTATTAAACATGTCCAGTAAAAAAATTTAAAAAATCAAATTTGGTCATAACTTTAGGCCAAAATGTATTCTGCTACATGTATTTTCTAAAAGAAATCCCAATACGTGTGAACTAATTGGTTTACGTGAAGGTTATAGCGTCTACAAATGGCGGTACATATACTGGAATTTTTTTATTTTTATTTTTACATTAGTAATGTCAGCGATCAGCGACTGCGGTGGGCATTCTGACACTTGGGGGGGGGGGACTGACTAACTATCACTGACATCCCCAGTGACACTAATAAAGTGATCAGTGCTAATAAAAAGCACTGACACTGTACTAAGGACAATGGGCAGGAAAGGCAGCACAGTGGCTAAATGGTTAGCATTTCCACCTGGCAGTACTAGGGTCGCTGGTTCGAATCGCAACCACAGCACCACCTGGAGTTTGCATGTTCTCCCTGTGCTTGTGTGGGTTTCCTCTGCGTACTCTGGTTTCCTCCCACACTCCAAAGACATGCTGGTAGGTTAATTGGCTCCTGTCTAAATTATCCCTAGTATGTGTATGTATGAATGCAAGTTAGGGACCTTAGACTGTACACCCCTTGAGGGTTAGGGACTGATGTGAATGTACAATATATGTAAAGCGCTGTGTAAATTGACAGCGCTATGTAAGTACCTGAAATAAGTAAATCTGGGGTGATCAAAGGGTTAACTGTGTGCTGTGCTGTGTTGTGTTTTACTGTGTCAGCACATTGCTTTGTACAAAGCAGTGTGATGGAGCTGTCAGGGGAGTGATCTGTATTGTTTACATACAGGTTTCTCACCCGTCAGTGATACTCGGCGATCACCGGGTGCTAGCGGGGAATCACCGGCCGGGACCCGGTGATCGACAGCTGAGGCCGCCAATGGTGGTGTTCCCAACCCAGAAATGCCAAATCGCGTATATATTTTTGCTACAGGGCGGCAGGAAAGTGGTTAATGAAACATAGACATAGTTTCTTTTCTTTTTAAAAATGTCTACATGTTTATAATTTCTGCAGACACTCTCTTCAGCAGAAGTGTTGCTTTGACAAAGCATCATTGACTGGGTCTGGAAAATGTAACGTGGTTAATAGACTTTTCTTTTCTATGTCCATGTTTGTTGAATTCTCACAGTTCAGTAGTCCATGCTATATGATCTTTCAGCCTTTAGATTTTCTTAACTTTCCATTCTGACTTAAAACGTTTGCATGTTCAGTAAATAAACTGTTTCCTTTTTAAAGGGAAGAAGATAGCGCCAGATGTCTTCCAGTAATTTAATAGTAAAGAAGGGGCTATTTCCTTCTCAAGCACCTCAATGACCACATTCATCTCCTAATATACAGTGCACTGCTGTATCTCCAAATTCAATACATGTTGCTCTAAGCCTCTCCCTTTTTTAAATAGATTACCTACAAATGTGCAGTTGAAAAAAGTAACACCACAGGGTCACATATAAAAGAAGACCAGCCCTTTTAAAAGAGGCCCAGCTATATATAGCTTTTTGGCAACCCATGTTTTGAAAAGTCACCTCTGCTCCCTGCTGCTGTAGGTATTCCATACTTGTAGGTGTGTGCAGGGGCGAACTGACCATTTGGAAACTCGGGCACTGCACGAGGGCCCGGGGTCCGAAGGGGGCCCCATGAGATGCCCCTGGTACCTTTTTCATAGGCTTTTTTGACTTTGGGCAAGGACACAGGGGCCCCATGATCCCCTTTTGCCCGGGGGCCCCATGAGTTGTCAGTCCGCCCCTGGGTGCGAGAATACCTTCTGCTCCTGTCGCACACAATGGTTCCTCCCATCCGCTTGTACACCACTACAGGACATATGAGGTGGTGGGAGAAGCCACTACATGCAGTGGAGGAACAGATATTCAACCTCAAAAGGTTAAATACCTGCAGTGGCCTGGAGGCCGCTAACTACCTGCCGACCGCAGATAGCCGAATGACGGCTGCACTGCGGCCGGCCAGTTCTGAGTGGACGTCATATGACGTCCTCCCAGAACGCGCTCTCCTGCGCGCCCCAGGGGGCGTGCACCCGGCGATCTCCGTGATCGCTGTGTCCTACGGACACAGCTGATCATGTGATGTGGTAAAAGGCCAATCACAGCGGCCTTTTACCACGGGATCAGCGGTGTCCAATGACACGCTGATCACAGGGAAATGCAAGTGCCGGTTCTCGGCTGCACTTTCCTCACGCTGTCAGATCGTGAGGAAAGTACTGCCGAGAACCGGCAGTTGTCACAGCGGGGATCGGCACCGATCATCAGGGCATTGATGATCGGTGCCCAGCAGTGACACCCGCAAGTTCCGCCCAGCAGTGCGCCCACTAGCTACCGCCCACCCGTGCCCAGCAGTGCACCCAGCAGTGCCCCCACCTGTGCCCAGCAGTGCACCCACCTGTGCCACTCTGCAGTGCCACCTACCTGTGCCCAGAAGTGCCACCTACATGTGCCCAGCAGTGCCACCCACCTGTGCCCACCCACCTGTGCCCACCAGTGCCACCCACCTGTGCCCACCCACCAGTGCTGCCCACCAGTGCCACCACCAGTGCAGCCCAGCAGTGCTGCCAGTCAGTGCCACCAGTCAGTGCCCAGGGGTTGTGCCAGTCAGTGCCCAGAAGTGATGCCAGTCAGTGCCGTCTATCAGTACCCATAATCAGTGTCACCTATCAGTGCCGCCTATCAGTGCTGCATATCAGTGCCGCCTATCCGTGACCCCTAATTAGTGCTGTCTATCAGTGCCGCCTATCCGTGCCACCTCATTAGTACTGCCTATCAGTGCCCTTTAGTGCTGCCTATCAGTGCCCATCAGTGCCGCCTATCAGTGCCCATCAGTGCTGCCTCATCAACGCACATCAGTGAAGGAGAAAAAATACCTGTTTGAAAAATTTTATAAAAGAAACAAATAAACTTTTTTTTTTTTTTCAAATTTTTTGCACTTTTTTTATTTATAGCGCAAAAAGTAAAGCGCCCAGTGGTGATTAAATACCACCAAAAGAAAGCTCTATTTGTGAGAAAAAAATGATCAAAATTTCATATGGGTACAATCTTGCATGACCGCGCAATTGTCAATCAAAGTGTGACAGTGCTGAAAGCTGAAAATTGGCCTGGTAAGGAAGGGGGTATAAGTGCCTGGTAGGCAAGTGGTTAAGCAGAGGCATTTCAAGACATGAGCCACCTGAAGGTAGGTATAGATGGACCTATTTTACAGAGCTTGCCTTCTTTTAAGTGATTATACATGTGCGGTTTGTTTCAAATCAAATTTCAGACACATTTTTCTGTTATTCGAAGATTCGGATGTATCAGAATTCTGAATTACAAAAATAATGAATTTAAATGAATCCGAAATAATGAAGCGAAATTTGGCCAAAATTAGATTTGCAAACAAAATTATTATTATTATTATACAGGATTTATATAGTGCCAACAGTTTGCTCAGCGCTTTACAATATAACGGGAGACAATACAGCAACAATACAGTTGAATACAAGAGGGATAGGAGGGCCTGATCCTTGGAGCTTACAATCTAAGAGGGAGGGGATGGTGGTACAAAAGGTAATAACTGTGGGGGATGGACTGATGGGAGAAATAAAAGATTTGGTTATTAGCTAAAGGCAGGATAGGGCTTTCCCTGAAGAGATAGGTTTTCAGAGATCACCTAAAAGTGAGCACAGTAGGCAATAGTCTGATAGATTGAGGTAGAGAGTTCCAAAGGATGCGGGAGGCTCTGGAGAAGTCCTGGAGAAGAGCATGGGAGGAGGAGACAAGTTTTAAGTGGAGCTCCACCCACAACGGGAAGTTCCACTTTAAGGACTGGTTCCCGCTCCCCGTTAAGAAGTTAAGAATTGGCACCTTTGGGGAGTGGGGGGGGGGGACGGGTACCTGAAATTGACAGGTATCTGCTCCCACTTCCGCTGCGATCATATGGCTAGCCTTATTCAAATTCAAAACAGTTTTGACTGATTTTGAAAAGATTTAATTAGAAATTAGATTTTTTATTTTCCCCTGATTTAAGCTGGCCATACACATGTAGATATTTGGCCGAGAATATTCGTAAGAAATTTCTTTGCACAATGAATGGAAAAATGTCGTTCGAAAATTGTCCTTTGCTTTTAACATTTGATTTTAAAGTTTTTCTTCCTGCCCCTTTGAATTTTCCCATCACTGCTGTCGAAAACAAACATCGATTTGACTCCACTAATGATTAGAAAATAAACAAATATTCCTGAAATGAAAATTCTCATCCAAAAATCTATTCATGTATGGCCAGCTTAACGATTAGAAAATCTAATGAATATTCTTGAAACTAATATTCTCAGCTGAAAATCTACATGTGTATGGCCAGCCTTAAGCTGGCCATACACATATAGATTTTCGGCTGAGAATATTCGTAAGAAAAAGTTGTACGAAAATTGTTTGCACATTCGATGAATGGACGAATGTTGTTCAAAATTGTCTTTTGCTTTGAACATTTGATTTTAAAATTAATTTAATTTCTGAATGAGAACCACATACACTGGCTGAGGGAGAAAGTTTTCCTTCCTGCCACTTCAAATTTTTCCGTCACTGCTGTCGAAAACAAACATCAATTTGACCCCACTAATGGTTAGAAAATCACATGAATATTCTTGAAACGATTATTCTCGGATAAAAATCTACATGTGTATGGCCAGCTTAACTTTTCGAATTCAGTTTAATTTTTACTGAATTCGTTTGAAATCGTTTTGATTTCAAACAACTTTTTGAATTTTGATGAATCAATTTATAATGTGGTTGAACCAATTTCGAATGTGAATGACTTTTCGAATTTGGTTGAAATGTTTTTGAATTGAATTCGAATACGAATTACCGAAACAAATCCCTAAAACGAATGGAATGAATTTACCGAATCCAACTACATGAAATTTGTTAGATTTTAAAACAAAACAAACTTTTTCATTTTACACATGTTTATAAGTGAACCTATGGTTGTTTTTTGTTGGGAATAGACAGAACAGGAAATAAGGTCAAGTCTTTCCAAAGCGAGGGGAACTCCTACTGAAACAGTTGTCACTGTAACCGTTGTCTGCATTTAAAGATTTCCTTCCACTTCCACTTCTCTGTCTTTTCAAAGCCATTGTTTCTATTTTTTTAGGGACTCTTTAATGACTGGCATAGTAGCACTGGATTGGCGTAAGGCCAATGTGGTGCCAATATTTAAAAAGGGATCAAAATCTTTACCAAGTAATTATAGACCTGTTAGTGTAACTTCTATAGTTGGGAAGATACTGGAGAGTTTAATAAAAGACCACGTAGATGAGTTCTTGCTGGAAAAAAATATTGTAAGCAACAGACAGCATGGATTCATGAAAGACAGAAGTTGTCAAACAAATCTGATTTCTTTTTATGAGGAGGTGAGCAAAACCTTGGACAGAGGGGTGGCGGTGGACGTGATATACTTGGACAGAGGGGTGGTGGTGGACGTGATATACTTGGACAGAGGGGTGGCGGTGGACGTGGTATACTTGGACAGAGGGGTGGCTGTGGACGTGGTATACTTGGACAGAGGGGTGGCGGTGGACGTGGTATACTTGGACAGAGGGGTGGCGGTGAACATGGTATACTTGGACAGAGGGGTGGCTGTGGACGTGGTATACTTGGACAGAGGGGTGGCGGTGGACGTGGTATACTTGGACAGAGGGGCGGCGGTGGATGTGGTTTGACACAGTTCTCCACACACGGCTAATGTGTAAGGTAAAGTCTACGGGCTTGGAAATATCTGTATGTAAATGGATAGAAAACTGGCTAAAAGATCATATTCAGAGAGTAGTGGTTAATGATTCATACTCTGAATGGTCTAGGGTTGTCAGTGGTATACCCCAAGGTTCAGTGTTGGGACCCATAACTTTTAATATATTTATAAACGATATAGAGTCTGGGATTAAAAATCCCATTTCAGTCTTTGCAGATGACACCAAGCTGTGCAGTGGAATAACGTCCTTTCAGGATGTCTCCAATTTACAAGCCGATCTCAATGCACTGTTTAATTGGGCAACTATGTGGCAAATGAGGTTTAATGTTGATAAATGTAAGGTTATGCACTTGGGGGCTAAGAATATGCATGCATCATACATACTAGGGGGGTACAACTGGGGGAATCAATGGTGGACAAGGATCTGGGGGTTCTGGTAGATCACAAGCTTAATAATGGCATGCAATGCCAAGCTGCGGTTTCTAAAGCGAGCAAAATCCTCTCTTGTATTAGAAGAGGTATAGACTCCAGAGAGAGAGATATCATATTACCCCTGTACAAATCATTAGTAAGACCTCATCTGGAATATGCTGTTGCTGTTTTGGGCACCAATTCACAAAAAGAACATTGGGGAAGTAGAGAAAGTACAGAGAAGGGCAACCAAACTGATAAGAGGCATGGAGGAGCTCAGCTATGAGGAAAGATTAGAGGAACTGAATTTATTCTCTCTTGAGAAGAGGAGATTAAGGGGGGATATGATCAACATGTATAAATACATCAGTGGTTCATATAGTGAACTCGGTGTAGAGCTATTCACCCTGAGGTCATCACAGAGGACAAGGGGGCACTCTTTACGTCTGGAGGAAAAGAAATGTAATCTCCAAACATGGAAAGGTTTCTTCACAATGAAAGCTGTGAAAATGTGGATTAGACTCTCTCAAGAGTTGGTTCTGGCCAGCTCAGTGGATTGCTTTAAAAAGGCCTGGATTATTTCTTGGATACACAGAATATAACTTGATACTAACATTTATAGGTAAAGTTGATTCAGTGAATATCCGACTGCCTCTCGGGGGATCAAGAAGGAATTTTTCCCCCTGCAGGAGCAGATTGGATCATGCTTTGCTGGGTTTTTTTGCCTTCTTCTGGATCAACTGTGGGTGTAGGATTATAACTTTTCTGGATGGACTTTTGTCTTTTTTCAGCCAGACTAACTAACTATGTTCCTGTGATGACTAGAATTCCCCAGCAAGCACAAAGACAGCAATATATCCTTCCTACCTATAGAGTGCGGGAGTGTAATGGTGCGGGAGTGTAATAAAAATGTTGTATTGCATACACTTAAAAGAGAACCAGATTGACTCGAACTGGAATTCTCAAAAAGCTCTCTATTGTCTTCCCTATCATTGCAGAGACAAACTGATGCATGAGTGACAATTGCACTCCCCCAAAGATCTGCAGGTGGTTAAGCCCTTCTGCTACTCTTCTTCCCATATATTTTGTCATTTCTTCACAGACCAGTATCTGCTTCTACAAAACTTGCTGCTAAAGTACACAGTGGGCTCCAATCCTTTGCCACCCTTAAAGTGGTTGTAAACCTCTGAAATGAAAAAATCTTATGTATCTTTCTATTGTGTGTACTTGCCCCAGTCCAAAGCATCTAGTGTAATTTCTGCCTGCTCTCTTATCCGTATGCATGAATCACTTCTGACAGTCTATGCTGACACCAGACCGGAGTACCTGGAGGAAAGCCACACAGGCACAGGGAGAACATGCAAACTTCAGGCAGGTGGTGCCATGGTTCTCCCTGTGCCCGTGTGGCTTTCCTCCAGGTACTCCGGTTTCCTCCTACACTCCAAAGACATGCTGTAGATTAATTGGATCCTGTCTAAATTGTCCCTAGTATGTGTATGTATGAATGTGAGTTAGGGACCTTAGATTGTACACCCCTTGAGGGTTAGTGATGTGAATGTACAATATATATGTAAAAGCGCTGTGTAAATTGAATGCGCTATATAAGTACCTGTAATAAATAAATATATATACTGTATATATATATATATATATATATATATATATCTTACAAGTGTCTGTCTTCCAACATGGCTTACAATTCAACTTAATGT